ATATTAATGACATTGTGCACTTGCTCATTCTTCTTTTGCGTTACTTTGAGCGATGTTTTAATCACTGAAACATACATGGAAATCACCATATTCCTATTCATATGTATTAATTGACAACAATTAATCTAATTATTTATTGATATAAATTCATAAATAAACAATTGTAACAATAATACATATCTATATTATATTAATTAAGAAGTATTAACAATAGTAGAAAATTGATCGTTGTTTGATCGTGTGATTATGATAATAGTAATTGACCGTTAACGTTGGTCCACAAATTCACCTCCAATAATTAATCCAGGACTGTAAATAGTAATAGTGTTGATTGTTATTGTTCGGGAAATTCACAATGGTCTTTGTAGTTAGAACAGTTACAGTTAAAGTAACAGTAGCCAACAGTCGAAATCAGCGTTTTTGGAGGCATTGAATGGCTTGAGCCATCTCCATTATATTCAATGTTTCAATACATATTCACTATATAGTGAACTACATTCACTACATATTCACTATATTCACTACATAGTGAACTATTGTTGATTCGAGTATGCCCAGCCACGACACTTTTTTCGTGGGATGGTCCAATATGCCCCAATATTGCAGTACTGAGGTACGAAACCTATCTCAAAATATTCTTCATCCTGGATTATCATCACCTATGTATATATATATATATACACACATATACACGTACGCATGTGTGTGCGTATATGTGTGTATGTGTTGATATGCGTATATATATATATATGTATACACAGCTCGATGTGTGTATATACATATATGTATATTATACTGTATATACATGCATATATATATATTATTTTATTATATATAAATGACACTGGTTTTAATTCACCAACCAGAGAATGATTGATATGATATGCATCAGCACCAGTGGAATTGTCATTCTCACTTCTTTACCAGCTTTTCTCTGAGAAGCATGGTAGCCCTGACGGTCAGATTCGCTGAAACGGACATTGAATTGACAGTCGTGACACTGAAGAGCAGGGACGTCTTGTTGCCCACGCCTTCCTCCGTTCACTCAGTCTTTACGCCCTGATGTCAATATCATATGTATGTAGATATATAATATATATATATATATGTATGTACATATGGAGGTTTCCTGAAATAGGGGTAGTCCAAATCATCTAAGTCAATAGACCACTTTAGTATTGAAACCCATGGTGACTGGGACATACCATGTTAAGAAACCTGCATATATACACTTCCCCAAATTGAACATATATAGACCCTGCCAAATAGGGGGTTGGAAGATTACTTTCCACGAAAAATTGTCACTTTTCAAGGTCTACGTTAATTTGGTGGAGAGTTCGCAACGGTGCTTTCTGCAAGAGAACCGAAGGTTCCATAATACCTGTCTCACTGTCTCATCTTTTCTAGTTTAAATGTTCCAATGCAGAGACTGTTCAGTGTTCAAAAGCTCTGCTGTCCCTCAATATCAACAATGGCACATCTAGGTTGACTGGCCTGCTGCAAAACCTTGATACTTGGTGCTACTTGGTGATAGTGTATGACAGGTATTGACCCATCCCATATCTGTGTTTCTTGGGGACCCCAAAATCCCATACAATTCAAAAGGACGTCTCAAAATATGAGGTACGGCATCCACTAGTTAATCATCATATAAGGCCCGTTAAATAGCTGTAACTTGGGGTGAAGAGTGTATCAGACAGACCCAGTTTGTTTGATTGAAGATGGCAGTCAATGCTGAAAACCTTTGCCAATTGGTGGTTTCAACCAATTCCAAAAATATGTTGGTCACAAGGAACTGTCATCCCAGTGCAGTGGAAAAAGAAGTGACAAAAGATCCCTCTGGGATGCAGCAGGTAAGCACTCAACAGACACATCGCCAATGGCATTTAAGCAGTGCTGTCAAAGCTGACTTGGGGTGCTCAAAGATCCCTCTTGTAAGCAAATGTGATGTGCTGAAAAAAATCAACCAATAAAACATGCGCAGAGATGACTGTGGAAACATGTTTCAAAAAACTGCCGGCTTTCCTTTATTCCCATTACCCTATGTAAACAGTGAACGGATCTGCAGCCTAGATCGCCTTTGGCACCGGTGAGCCACAGTGAATACATCCAGCCAGGTCTCCCAAAAAATTCATCAACCTTCAATTTGAGGGCCTATCTGAAAATATTTCACCCTCAGCTCATCCATCATCCCAGCGACAGTCGGCACCGGCACTGGCACCGCTCAGTAGATGTTCTCGCGCAAGCACAGGACCCCAATTTCTCCCAGAGCCGTTGTGGCCCGTTTCAGGGAGTTCCTGGGAGATCCGTGGGAACCTGCCATGCCCTGCCAAAAAATGGAAGGAAAAGCGCCATTGCCATGTAGCAATAATAGTGGTTATAATACCAATAATAGTGGTTATAATAATGGTTATATGATGGTCATGATGGTTGAATTGCCAGTAATTTCTCAGATCCAAGAAGTTTTCTCGGGGGAATGTCACGAAATCATCAGGCATCTCACTTGCTTTCCGGTCAAAGTTTGATTCGAAAAAGTCATCAATGCTGAACCTGGGGGCCTGTGCCATACAACGCCAGGTCCTGGTGATCTTTCAAGGGAGCAAATCAATAGAATCGATCCTGCCTTTCCTCATGGAGTCTCCTTAAAATGGCCATGACACCCTAGTAAGCCAGGCCCCAGGGTCCCAGGGTGACCTCGCCCCCACCGACCAAGGTTCACCACCACTGTCAAGCGCGCTTGTGTGTCATCCACCACACTTGCAAATTGGAATGGCTGGCGTCGGAGCCGAGCCGTTGGAGCTGTTGCAGGGTGTTGGGGTCCCATTTTGGCGCGGGAAAAGTTACTGTTTTGAGAAAACCTTACGGAACCTCCTTATGGAATCATTTGGATGATGGGATGAAAGTAGGTAGAGAGGTAGACATACGATTCACGGGATGATCTGGGTTCTGAATCCCGTTTGTTTCACTCATTTTCCAGATCGCAGAGTCATGGTTTTCGCATTTCATCATTCCATTCCTTCCAATGAAACAGTGATGGATCAAATCAACGTATTTGCCAACGTTCATGTTTGCCAACTCGAAAAAGCTGAACAACATGGGAAAGTCAGCTGGATCATCCCATTCGATGGGACCCATAAAGGGACCATCAATGTGAAAAACCTGAGATAATCTGCCTCCAGTTCAGGATGGTTTACCTTCGGGATTTTCATTGATGTTCATTGGCCAATCATCTTTCGCCAAGAAGGGGGTACTTCTGGGGGTCGAAGCCCTGGTCCGCTGATGCACCAAAAATGAACGGAAACCTCTGCCATCCAATAATCAATGTAGATATGTACGGAACATCCACCATTTGTAGTTACTGTAGTTGATTTCGCCGTGGGAAACGATGGGATTTCTCTATGGCTTCATACATTTAAATGAGTTTACTGGAAGATATTTGGTATTGACCCCATTTGACCCCTACCAAGTATTTCACAAATCCAAATCCAATTGATATCCAATTGTGGGTCTACCATGAGACCTCCCACCATGTCCCACCTGAATGGTCTTCAGCTCTCCGTCCATGTCGCGATTGACCTGTCAACTTTTAGGAACAAAGCCATTGGCAAGGAAAAACATGTGTGGTAGTGAAGTATCCCTTTTAGGGCTACCCAATTTCAACCTAAGCCCCTTTGGATAGTTTATATTATCTATATATTACACATATATAATTATGATGGTTACAACTACACTCTAAGAGACCATTGTATGATGATCGAGATCCAGACACATCCACTCTATCTCACATCGGAACGCAACACGAGGAAGTCAGCGCCTACCGTCTAGTCTAGATTGTCCAGTTCTTCCTCCCTCCAAGCAGGGGTAGAATTGATTAAAAGAAAAACAACATGCCCAGACGGAGAGAATCAAAAATCTAGTACACGTAAGATTCAATTAGATTAATGTCAGAACGTCATATCACATTATGATAATAACAAATATAGACTTAAGAAGTATCAATATAGACTCATAAGAAAAACATGACCATATCACATCATATCACTTTGAGCATTGTTCAAAATCCCTGTCATTCCATTGAATCCTGGTTGGTTAAGAACGGGATTCCCCATTCTTGGATTATGATCATCCCCAATGCAAAGAAAGGGTCGTAGAGTCCCCGAACTTATCAACCAACAGGGGTTTTAAATGGCAGCCACTGCTCACTTCATACTACGGCTGGGAGTACCCCCAAATCATCAATTTTCACCATGGATGTTGCATCAGGAAAAACATAGAAAAACCATCCATTTTATGGGCATGCATACACCATTTTCAGACATACCCAAATCTCAGATTGTTGGTTATATATATATACAGTGTGTGTGTATATATATATATAGTGTGTGTATATATATATATATATATATGCTACCCCCCCCCTGAAAAGTCTACCTTTTTTGTGAGTTTGGAAGGGTCTCAAGATTCCAGCTGCACTAGAGTGGTGATAATATTTTGTCATCAGTCCACACATGGAAAATTCTGAAGTCATGGGTGGGCTGCAAACTTCAGTCATCAGTCCAGAAGTGAGAACTTCTGAAGTCATGGGTGGGCTGCAAACTTCAGTCATCAGTCCAGAAGTGGGAACTTCTGAAGTCATGGGTGGGCTGCAAACTTCAGTCATCAGTCCAGAAGTGGGAACTTCTGAAGGCATGGGTGGGCTGCAAACTTCAGTCATCAGTCCAGAAGTAGGAACTTCTGAAGTCATGGGTGGGGTGCAAACTTCAGTCATCAGTCCAGAAGTGGGAACTTCTGAAGTCATGGGCGGGCTGCAAACTTCAGTCATCAGTCCAGAAGTGAGAACTTCTGAAGTCATGGGTGGGCTGCAAACTTCAGTCATCAGTCCAGAAGTGAGAACTTCTGAAGTCATGGGTGGGCTGTAATCTTCAATCATCATTCAATAAACTTGCATGATCATGGGCAAGCTGGAGGCATAAATTTCAAGCCAGTACTGGGAATGAAGCTCACACAACGAAGGGAGGAATCAAGCACATGTCCGGCGGCATAGCAGCAATTTCTTTCTCACCGGTGATGTCCTGGCGCACAAGCGTTCAAGACGCAGGAACCACAATCTCAGACATGTAAGCGGACAGGAGTTCTCCTGTGCGCACCCACATGTCGTCCCCCCGGTACCAATACTGGGCAGAACGAATTTGGGCTTGCAAGCGGCCCATGCCAGCACGAACGTTCGTCCCTTTCGACAAACGTTCCTTAATAAATTTCCAGCAGCGGTCAATGTGCTGGGTGCCACATTTCACCTTCACGGTCTTTCCCCCAGGCAACTTGTGGACTTTCATCTTAACAAAATTTGGCTTGGTCCATTCCCATTTCCCATTCTTTTTGACACGCTTTTTCTGGTGGACAACCGAATCATGAAGAACGCCAGGGAGCTTCATCTTGTACGCCTTGGCCGAGTCAGTGTGGAAAATCACAGAGCGGTTGGCCAACCATTTCTTGCCCAAAGGCCCCCAATCCTGTTTTGTGATGGGGCCGGGGCCTGGAGACCGGGTAGCTGTCAATGTTGGGCTGAGTCGGGCAAGCACTAGTGTCTGAGGCTTCCCTCTCTGAACCAATCCGCACCATTGTTCCCAGAGCATGGAGCGGTCCGCTTTCACTTCATGCTCCCAGGCTGCGTCTGACAAGACATCCCTCTTGTCAAAGGTGGCTTCATCACCTTCGACATCAGACCATTTTCCAAAGCGCCAAATTTGATGCCCTTCTCCTTCTGCACCACATACTTCTTTCGGACCAGTTGCAGGTTCTTGTGCCTTGAAAAAGACGAGTTTGATGACATTCAAGCAGCCAGGCGCTTGTTCAATCACAATGCCACCGATTTTGGCTCCTGATGGCACCCCCTCTTTGAATTTCAAAGGGGCAGGTAGGTCATCCACTTGTTGAGATTGCAAGGTTGAAGCAATGGCTTCAGGGCTTTCGGACAGCTGGACGGACAGATGCACATCCAAGAGCATCATCGTGCTTTTCACACCCGTCGGAGGCCGGCAGCATGTGAGAAGTTCCTGGACAGTCAAGGGCTTCCCAATGTCTTCAATCTTTTTGAAGGCGCAGCAAGGCTCAGAGCGCGTCTCGTAATGCCACTCCTTGCCGCCCAAGGTGTTCATGGCCTCATCGATCAAAGCAGCCATGACCAAGGAACAGGCAGGGCGGAATCTATCACCTTGATGGGACAAAGGAAACTGCAGCGCTCAGAAAGATGAAGATGCGAAGGTGTTGCAGACATACCATAATCTCCAACTCTTTCTTCCCATGCATGAAATTCAAGCCTGCACATCAAGTCTGAACATCAAGTCTGAACATCAAGCCTGAACATCAAGTCTGAACGTCAAATCTGAACATCAAGTCTGAACATCAAATCTGAACGTCAAATCTGAACATCAAGTCTGAACATCAAATCTGAACCTGGATAGTCTATAGCCCTATCTAGTCCAGCTGGAAATTTTTATCATAGGTATACAAGCTCTACACCCCCAGGTGCCAGAATCATGTGCACGTGACGGGTCAGACTGTGCTTCACAGCACCGCAACACTTCAACACGCTTTTTCCTCCGCAGCGCTTCCTCGCTCAAGCTCACCTCTGGGCCCGCAACCGAGCATTCTCCTGTTCAGCTGCCTCTAACAATTCCGCAATGAGCTGGTGGGATTCAGCCAAAGACCAAAACTCTTCTTCCCGTTCCTGGCACCGCTGGCACTTGGCTGGACGTTCATGGCTCTCTTCGCAGGGGGCGGCTGGAGGTGGGGGCGCCAGGTACTCGTCATCCGTGAGGACTTCAGACTGCGGGCCCAAGGAAGGGTTTGGCATACCGTACTCATCGTCAGAAGGATACTCTGGAGGCGGCGGCAAGGATGGGTTGGGAACATACTCCGGCATCGCCTCTTCCTCCGAGGACGTAGAAGAGGAGGAATCCGAATAGGAGGAATCCGAAGTAGACGAGGAATCGGACACCTTGCCATCTTCAAGTTGAAGGACCTTAGTAAGAGCATGCATGTGTGCTGGGGGTGCGGAACAGGAAGTTTAAGAAGAACACACTCTGCTCTTGAGATGAAAATTAAGGCTAGCAATGGTGCAGGTGCTGCAATGGCTGGGACGACTGGCTTCGGAGTCACCACCCTCTTTGGCTTTGTCAAGCACTCCAGCAGCCTTTGTTCTGCAGCTGCATTCCAGGCACCGTGCAAGCCCACGGGGTCCAAGTGGAGCCCCTTCTGGACGTTGCAGATCATCACCGCCAGGTGTTTGCGGAGGAGTGGGAGCCGGGTTGGGTGTACCGGCACCTCCTGTCGCAAAGCTCTGTTCAGCAGCGCTTCCAAGTCGGACCTTGGCCTCTCCTCCGCTTGGTTGTTGTTGGTGGCGACATTCAACACTACCAATGCCTGGTTGTCCTTCAAGGTGACACGGCCTTGCACTGGGATCGACATCTTGTCCTGTATGTTGGCTGGAGGCAGAGTGGCAATGCTTCGGGCCGAGAGCTACAAACTGTGGAGTGGAGGTGGAGACGCAAGCCTTTGACAAAGATTGACCATATCCCTCAAGTGCAAAAGCTCCTCAGACTTGAGGTCCAAGATTGAAGATTAAAGATTGAAGATTCCCCAGGAGCCTTGTTCGAGAATCTTCAATCCAGGATTGAAGATTGAAGATTGAAGATTCCCCAGGAGTCTTGTTGGAGAATCTTTAATCCTGGATTGAAGATTGAAGATTGAAGATTCCTCAGGACTCTTGTTGGAGAATCTTTAATCCTGGATTGAAGATTGAAGATTGAAGATTCCTCAGGACTCTTGTTGGAGAATCTTTATAATCCAGGAGAAAATCTTCAATCTTCAATCCGGGATTGAAGATTCTCCAGGGAGAGTCCTGGAAAATCTTCAATCTTCGATCTTCAATCCGGGATTGAAGATTCTCCAGGGAGAGTCCTGGAAAATCTTCAATCTTCAATCCGGGATTGAAGATTCTCCAGGGAGAGTCCTGGAAAATCTTCAATCTTCAATCTTCAATCCGGGATTGAAGATTCTCCAGGGAGAGTCCTGGAAAATCTTCAATCTTCAAGCTTCAATCCGGGATTGAAGATTCTCTAGGGAGAGTCCTGGAAAATCTTCAATCTTCAATCTGGGATTGAAGATTCCCAAGCCTGAACACAAGTCTGAACATCAAGTCTGAACTTCAAGTCTGAACTTCACAGATCAAGCAAGGCTTTTACAGGCAGTTTTTAAAGGCCTATTTACAATGTATTTATATATGGCACCCCCAGTCCAATCTTATGAAGCTTAAAATGGTAGACTTTTGGGGGGGGGTGCCATATATATATATATACTGTATATATACAGTGTATATCCCATCAAATCCCATTAAATCACTATAGATCACTTCGTATAGACCGGCCCCACCTCTTTGTAGAAACCCGGTGCAGCTTCCAGGTCCAACATACCCTCCATGGCCGTCAACTGGTTGAAAGCATCCTGCGGACGATGGGATTTTTTTTCACCAGCGAATTGACTTAATCATATCAAAACATGGGATTTACATAGATTTACCGTAGTAGTTCAAAGGTTGGGAATTCAACATCAACGATTGGGATTGTACCATCCGAAAATTGGGATTTACGAAAAATGCTGTGCTTTAATCTTCTTAAACCCACCAAAATGGTGAGAAAATACTTAGGCAACATCCAGAGTTTCACCAACCAAAACAAATGCAAAACCATGTAAAATCAACAAACAATTGGGGATATCTATATAGTATTATATAGTATCTATATAAAGTGTTTCCCAGAAACAGCTGAGCAAGGGCCAAATATTTGAATTGTTTCTGATGTTTCAACTTGAGAGCGGGATTCTGTAAAAATGGATTCCATATCATTCCTTTACCAAAGGGTACAGGTATGGACCGAAATACCAGTTATGTTAAATCAGCAAATCACACCATAAAAATGAAATGATTCTCCCATTTATAACCATTTATAATGATTTATGATGGCCTTAACTGTAGGACCATGTAGAAATCATATATTCATTGCACTTCACCAGGGTCACCAACCGCTTAGCCACCAGTACAAGCCACGAAACAATGGTGTATGTAATTATATGTATGTGTATGTGTATGTATGCATGCATGCATGTATGCATGTACGCATGTACGCAAGTACGCATGTACGCATGTACGTAAGTACCTTATGTATCGTTATGTGCGTATGTATGCATATGTACATATGAAGGTATGTACGCATGTACTTAGGTACGTACGTACGTATGTATGGATGTATACAAGTATAGATATTGTGAGTTGCTGTATATCATGCCGAAACAAACAAACAAACAAACAAACAAACAAACATGAACATGTTAATATACCGTTCACTGAAAAATAACGCAAAGATCATGTTTGTACATGTTTGTGGTAATATGGGTAAAGACCCTGTTCTCTTCACACCAAAATAGCTGACAAATGCATGTTCTTCTCCCCAGACGTGATATCATGGGTTTTGACCCATTCCCAACTCCGGTTGTAAATCTCGGATTCAAAAGCCTCTGTCCCTTTAGACTGGCTGATTAAGAACGGATTTCCCATAACGGATTGCGATAATCCCCAATACAGTGGATAGTATAACCCCCTACAATCATCAAGCAACACGAGTTTTGAACACTGCTCTTATGTTCGGTGGGTGAAATCTCCATATTGCGACCTCTTCCTTTCCCATCTGTCGCCTTCAAAAGCTGGTTGTTGCTCTCTGTCATGGCTTGCTCTTTATCCTGCGGGACAAAGATATTGGGTTTCACTTGGGGGTGTGGGCCCCACTCAGTAAATGGGTTATACCCCCAGCTATACATGGAATATCCCCTATTATATATGGGATTATTATATAGGGTTACATATGTTTTAAGTTATAAGCCACTTACTGAGTGGGATGCACGGCCAAGTAGCCAACACAAACAGTGGTTAGGTAGCCCCGACAAAAGACAGAAGAAGCACTTGACCGCTGTTTTAGGAGGATTTGTCCTTCCTACCGTCTTCGGGATTGCCAAAGTTAACCAACAAAAATTTGGATATTTTGCAACGAACATAGAGAGTTTCTACACCAACAAGAATTGGGGCTTGACCAACAAGAATCTGGGTTACCAACAAACATTTTTGGGGGCTCAGCAACAAACATTATACATATATATATACCAGGTATGTATAACCACCCAAGATCCTATGATTTCACCATCGAAATCTACCGTAATGATGACTTCTGTATGTGACAAGCCGCCAAGTGTGGTAGCCATGCTGTCCGTTGTATCCGCAAACAAAATTGGTCAAGAACTCAAAGCTTCGAATATCGCGAACCTTGTCGAGATTTAAACATTCTGGATATGCTTGAGCAGTGGCAATGGCTGTCTCGTGAATTTTGAGTTGGTTACGTAAGTGTGGATTAAATTATGTAAACCATCCAGTTCATGCTAACTCCCTGCCGATTGTAGTCGAAACCACAGCCAGGGGGTTCCACCCCATCAATCCTCCTAGGAAAGCAGTGGGCAATTCTCTTGGGACACATGGGAGCGTGACCAAAAAGCCTAATGAAGATTCCAAAGTCATGGGGACGAACTACCTGCTTGGGTCAAGTCGTTCTACGGACAAATTCACATTCCACAATAGTCAAAGACAAATTATGATATGATTGTGGTCAATTATCATATATAAAATATATATGTATTGGAATACATGAACGAGGAGTGCAATATATTGAATATGCCCAAGGATACTTAATTACAATTGTATACAAGTATAATGTATTAATCTAATACATATATATATATATACAAAATATATAATATATAATATACATATAATATAGTTGGGTATAGTCTGATCAAGAGCTCTTTACAGGGTTTTGGAGCTTTTCATAGTGATTCAGAGCATTGCTCGCACAGTGGCCACTGGCTCAAAATTGGGGCGTTTTGCCAATGGCTGCAATGGATTTGGAATGATTTGGATACTTTTCGGAAAACTGTGAATGATTGCAGACTTTTGGATGTTTGTGACTTCTTCTGCTTTTCAGAAGGAGGTTCTTTACAGGACCTTGGATTTTCAGGAACTGGAAGAAAGTTCAGCCTTGCGAGCTTGCTGCGTGTTTATGCACTATGAACTTGTAGATATTCCTGCCAAATGCAAGATGTGCAAGGCTGATTTGGCTCCGGAACAAGGTAGGAGCTCAAATGAGCTCTTCTGGCTTTGCTCAGAGAACAGAACAAGCAGCACTTCAAGCAACACATGTCTATTCCATGCCTGTCAAAAGTACGCACCAACAACCTTCTGGGGTTTCCAGTTTCTACACTCCGTTGTCTTCATGCTTTGCAATGAAAAGATCAGCCGTATTGTTGAGGAACTGGAGAGTGCGCATGGCACAACAAGGAGCACATTTTTTTGTTGGGAGAAAATATATCATGAGGCTTTGTCCAACTATGTCAAAAAGAGAGGGCTAAACAAAGTTGGAGGCAAGAACGAGAGATGTCCTGTAGATGAAACAGCTGTTGGCAAAGTTGGTCGCATGGTTGGTAAGCCTGCTTCCAAGAAAGGATCTTTTGTCAGGGCTGCAGATAGGATTCGCGCAAGGAGGCCATGTAAAACTATTTGGAAACCCAAAGCCAAAGCATTTCCAAAGGCCAAGCCTGGCTCTCTTCCAAGGACAAGCGCAGCAACAAGTCTACTCAATGGTTGTGGTTGGCTGTGCAAACTGGAAAGGATGGTCAACAGCCACGCTCACACAAAGATGGCAACAAAAAGGTGGCAATGGATGTTCTACCTGATGCTTCGCAAGCACCCAAGGGGAAATCCAGAGGTGAGGAATACTTGACTCGAGTGATTGAGAGCTCAAAATGAGCCATTTGATGGAAGCATTTCGCCTCAATGATGGAGGTCGCAAGTACAAACCTGTGAGGCTGTGCAATTGAAAAAACTGTCGTACCACAGTGCAAAGTTCTTAGCCATACTATCCCGATATAATCATACATATATATATATATAATGATATATATATATATAACTATATATATAATATTAAATAATTATATATATATATAACTATATATATATATAATATTAAATAAACATATATATATATATATAATATTATATAGTTATATATATATATGTAATTAGATGATAATTTATATATATATAATTGTAGGGTCACAGATTTTCAGGGCTGTACCCTCAGTCCCTAGCAAAAAGCCTCAGCTATCACCTCTGACCACGATCCCTCCTGCTCGAGCACAGCGATCACAGTGGTGAAGATGCGTTTCATGGTGTCCTCCACATCCTGCTTCCTCAAATCCCCGAACGTTTCATGAAGGTTTAAACGGGGGAAAAACATTTTTTTTTCGGGGTAAAATTCCATTGTCATGTTTGAACTATATATGAATTATATATGAAATGAAGTGAAATAAACTGGTTAAACTGCTTAAGCCACCCATAGGAGAGCCGGGATCATCCCCGGAAAATCAGAATGAATCATGGTGGCATAAAGGTTACAAAAAAGAATGTGGATCGAAGATATACAAAGATATACAAAGCTCCGATGCAACCAGGGCCATTCGCACCATTGATAGTAGTAACTAAGAAACCGTAGTCAGAGTTAAAACCCTGTTTGACAACATGACCTCTAATCTTTATATATATATGTATACACATACATACACATATAATATAACACACACTTGCTCAGAAAATGTCTTATCGAATTTCTGTTGTGGAGTGCATCGGGCGTGCACAAACAATCTCCTAAAGTCTGACAGGCAAATTGGATGACATGGCGAGAAAACCAGTGTAGAAGAATTCTTTCTTTGTCCATGCAACAAGCAACTGTTCCATCTGACGAAGTCAGCAGTAAATCAGATTGCGAAAACCGTACATAGGAATTGAAACCTGTTACACTCGAAGTTCAGAGGAAGGTCCTGATGCAGTAAAAACCCAAAATGGAAATTGGAAACAAACGACGTGCCGGTACTTGGCTTAGCCGGTCGCCATTGACGAAATTGGAAAATGGTGCAGGTACGTCCAGCTGGCCAAGCTGGATATCCCATTTCACTGGTAGCTTCGTTGGACACAGTCCCAGTGAAATGCTGTGTCCCCCTGCAAGTAAGATGCAACAGCTAAAAACTACGAAAATCAACCATCATCGAGCCACAGGAAGTTTTACATCTTTTCAGATGTTCCACACACACGCCTCGCTGCCGCGAGGCTTTTTTCAAGTTCACCCGCAGTGAAGGCTCTTATCCGTTCCCTGAAGCGGAATTGGCTTCAAAATACAGGGAAGAATCATCAAATGAATTAATCCTAAAGCTCACAGGCCGTCATCAGGTAGTGCCTCCATGCGTCGTGCCTGGTTAGACAAAGTCCTTGTAGATTCCGCCAAGTGGCTAGCAAGATGAGCCAAGTCTGCCGCCGAGAAGATCTGAACTGGGTGTCGGGAAAGGTCTCCGTCAGGATCCTCAAGACGTTCGAGTATGGCCATGTTGGCCTCCCTGTCATTGTTGAGAATGTTCCAGAAGAACGTTGCCAGTTGATGAATCTGGACAGGAGGTGGATTGATGTCAACATTGGCAATGAGAGAATCGGTGTCATCCATGACGGATTCTTGTACCGATTCAGGGCTGTCTGGAACTTCATCTTGATGGGGACGCCAATTTCCATACGGAGAGGTCTCAGGGATCTGAAAATAGCGTCGCCAGTAGTTGGCGAGCTGAGAGGATTGATCCCATGAATCAATCCAGCCATTCTGGCCGGCACGAACGTGGCCGATGATGCCGTTGAAAAAATATTCCGGCTGCCTATTGTGATGGCGGCCACGTCGATCCACTTCCGTCACCATAAGTCGGCGAAGCGCCGGTTGGGTGTCGTCTTCTGGAGGTGATTGGACTTCCACAAAATAGTATGCATGGAGCTGACGTCGGACTTCTTCCATCTCTTGCTGGAGTGGATATGATTCCCCTGTAGGAGTAGGGAGAATTGGAGCTTGATGATCGGCAGGAGATGGTATGGGTGTGACAAGATTTGTCGAAGAATACCCATAGTGAGGTGTGTACTCACCTGATCCGGTAGGTGAGAGGGAAATTCCAGCTTGGGGAGCATTGTCAACACGGGACGGATGTAACAGATCCGAAGGAGCAGCAGTGCTACTGGATTGGCCATGACTGCGAGATCTCCATGAAAGACGACGTGGCTTGCTCATGGAGGAAGAAGGATGCGTGATACCAGCAAATGAGGAATCACGTTTGGTCATGGTACAGCTGGAGCCAAGAGCTAAAGGCTTTAACAGGTAAAAATCAACAAAAAGCAAAAAGCAAAAACACCACCTGCAAGCGGGAAAGCTCCACAGCTCAAAATGCAGGAGACTTTTCAAACTTAAGGAAGCATGTTGCGGTTTGGAAGAGCCTCATGGCAGCTCACGCGCATGATGTAAGGCTGAATGTGAGACGGAAAGAAATGAATGTTATTTGAAAAGAACTCACTATGTTCTTGTCCCTCAGTCCAGTGAGATCGATAGGCGTTCAGATAGGTAACGAGGTATTCCTCGTTGCGGAGAGCAAATGTATCTCCAGTATCATCTTGCCATCTGAATCGATCCCGCGTATACCAGATATGCTGGCTGATGCAATATAACAGGTTGTACACCGTGAAGGTTTCCAACCGGTGTGTATTGAGCAGGATGTTGTATGTGAACAATGCACGTTCTTCGACCGGAGTGAGGCGAGGGAGAACCTCACATGTTGTAGCGGCCATTGAGTCATCATGGGTTTTGTTCATAAGCGGACGGACTTGTTCAATGTCAACGATGACCAAGACCTTTCGGACTCGAGGAGCAGGAGGAGGTTGTTCAGGTCGAGGATTTTGTTGCCAATCATGTTGCTGAGTGCGACGGTTCTGCCACATATTGTCGTCTCGGGAGCGGGAACGTTCAGGAGCGAGAATATGAATGAGCCATACTTGCTGTGGGTGAACAGATACACAAAGTAAGAACATTCATCGCAGGTAAAAGAAAGACAGACCAACAAAGGTGAGAACCCCAAAGAAAAGACAAGAAGACAAGCAAAAAGGAAGGAAGGAAGAAAGGAAAACCAAGGTTTCAACAGCCCCAAATGAGGCAGCAATGACGCTTTTTCGACATCGCAGGAATTGATGCTAGAGTCAGTCATCACCCTCAAGTTCATGAGGTGGGTTACCTGGACCCGGTGGGTCATTCACTTCTGATGTCTGTTTCAAAAGTCCCCAGCGTAGCTTACAGAGCTGAGGATCTCGATGGAGTCTCGCTCCAATCGTTTTCCACGAAGGTCTGGACTTTGTGTCCTGTTTCATGCCGATCAATTCTTGGTCGTCCGCATGGGTCCAAGGACGAGCCGGATCAGGAGGTGTAGCGGCAGGAATAGCATGAAGGATGTGCATCTGTGGAGACGGCGGAGCTTTTGGATTGGGAGTCAAGGTAAGAGGAGGTGTTCTGGGTCTTGCTTTCCCACCATGAATGTAGCTGATGTCATCTCTTGACGCAGCTTCACCATCGGAGTCATCAGAATTCATGTCGCCTGAACGGGCGTCTGAAATAATGGGTAACGAGGTCGAATGGACAGCATCAGGATTGTGGGCGGGTCTAGGTTCAGGAATGGACTCCCCTTTCTGTTTCTTTTTTGGTTGTGGGTCCACCAGAGATGATGACCGTTGTTTTGATCGCACTGGAACAGGTGTGGTAGTGCGTGTTGGTGCCGTAGGGAAGGTAATCGTTGTTGTGGACCCAGGAGTCGGAGTCGGACCAGGGTCCGTCATAAGACTGGCAGGTCGAGATGTACCAGTGGTGAGAATAGATGTATTGATTGGTGGAGAGCTTGTTGATGCCGGTCGAAGGTACGGTTCTGGATTCAATACCATGTGGGAAGGGATGCCGCCATGTGATACCAAGGTCGGGGGACCTTCGGATGTCGGACGAGGCACAAAAGTGTGCAGGCCTCTGGTTGTTGGATGATCCAGACGGAAATTGGCCGGAGGAGGCGCTTCATCATATTCAATGGAGGGCTCGAAGAAAGGCAAGAGCCCTGCCAAATAGTTGAGATGCATAATAGCTCTAGCCAAATGATGATGGAACGCTCGCCCTTGAGCATGATCCATGAGCGTTCAAACGAAGACGGAGCAAAAGGAAAGCGGAGCTTGAGCCAGGAAGCTGAAGAAGAGAAGCAAGAGACAGCAGAACACCATCAAGCACGAGAAGGCACAGGAAGAAACCAAAAACAAGAGAGAAGAGCAACACCGGGAACACAAGGAAAAGAGCAACCCTACAAAAGCCGCAGAAGCAATTTTTGAGAACAGCAATACTCGAGTTCTGATACTGAATCAAAAGTTGATTGGAGATGGCCTGAAGTTCCTCATTGGGAAAGCCAGCTCGTGCATATAATCGAATTAATTGTGACAAGCCTTGTTGGACCCGTAGGGATGGAAAAGCTCCCTTGATGACGATGTGACATCTCGAACGGAAACCGCTGAGCAGGACCGAAGGAGGTGAAGCTGAGAATGGTGAGAGAACTTGTGACACCTGTGTTGGTCCCTGGTAAATCAATTCAAGCGGCTTCGTTTCGATCATAAAGCCAAGGAATTCTTGGTCTGGCTCAGTTTCGAGGATAATAGGTTTTCCATAGAAGCCATCGTCCAATAAAACTTCATATGGGTCAAATGAGGTCAGGCGTTTGTCACCGAAAATGAGGCGATTATCAACGTAGCGGACATGTTTTATGAACAGGTGATGATTGGAGAGAAGTTGGTGGAAGGTGTGGTACCAAATCTGTTCACTGATGGAGACAACCATGAGACATAGGGCAGGGGAGAGAGGACTGCCCATGGGACTGTGACGGCGCTGACGGATGCATCGTTGTCCCAAGGCAAATGTCTGCATATGCAAGGCTGATTTGATCAAATCTGGCACGTCGCCGATGACAATCTTCCGAGTGACATTGAGGCGGCGAAAAGTACGGCCTTTGATGATGTCTCCTGGATTGTTGGACTTTCCAGGGTAGACAGAGAAGACCTCCTCATCGTAGACATTCATTTTGGGCCGGAGAAAGTCTAGGAGCATGAACCAGGAACGAAGGAATCTGTCTTGATCAATACTGGTGAAGAAGCCGGCCAAGTCTTGATTGACCAAAATCAAATTGGCGTCGACAGGCGCCGATCGCAATATCGAGAGCAGAGTGTACACGTCGCCAGTAGCGAAGTGATTTGGACATGCTGTAGGGATAAGCTGGAAGATGAGTCTGGCAAGAATGTTGAGCATTGGTCTGAATGGGGA